GCTCCTCCCGTGTAGTTCTGGGCTGATTCCTCACCTTTCTTAGGATCATTGAGACGCCACCAGGTGAGATCTTGCATGGAGCCCCAGTCCGAGGGAGATTGACAGTCGTGTTTAGCTTCTTCCATTTTCTAATAATTGCTCCAACAGTTGATCTTTTTCAACAAGCTGCTTGTAATTGCCCCGTAGCTCTTTCCAGCCTTGTGGAGGTCTACAGTTTTGTCTCTGGTGTCTTTGGACAGCTCTTTGGTCTCAGCCATGTTAGTAGTTGGAGTCTCACTGACTGTGTGGGGTGGACAGGTGTCTTCATGCAGCTAACCACCTCAAACAGGTGCTTCTGATTTAGAATAATAAGTGGAGTGGAGGAGGACTAACAGGTCTTTGAGGGCCAGAACTGTTGCTGATTGTCAGGTGTTCAAATACTGATTTGCAGCAGTAACACAAATAAATTATTAAAAAATCATACATTGTGATTTTCTGATTTTTTTTTTATTTAATTTTTTAGATTTTGTCTCTCACAGTGCACATGCACCCAAGATGAAAATTTCAGACCCCTCCATGATTTCTAAGTGGGAGAACTTGCAAAGTCGCAGGGTGTTCAAATACTTTCCTCTCTGTATAATCACAGTCTTCTGATGCTCACGGCTCAGGAACTTCGAAGGTCTCACTTGTAGTTCTCACACAGTTGCTGCTCGTTTGAGGCTTAATTTTCAGTCCGTTTCTGACTGCTGCTCGTTAACTGGACAGTCAGGGAGTGACAGACAGCTGTGTGGCTGCCTTGGTGACCATTTTAAGCTACAGGCAGCAGCAGGGTCAGTTTAAGCAATTAAAGTGCATTTTCACTTCAAAATAAACGGTTATGTTTGAATTTTAGTCTGGAGCTGCAAAAGAACTGAACATTTCTATGTTGGATTTTTATTTCATGACTTTTCATATTTAAAGCTGTTTTAGTTGAGTTCTTCCTCAAATAACGTCACAGTACTATATATTTTTTTTAACTTTAAGTTGCACTTAAAATCCTTTAATTTTCTCAAAATTGACATTGTAATCTGGTGCGTCCGAAAAATACGGTAATTATTGTAGCAACACTGTAAACAGTATTTCTGTGAATTTCACTCTACAATTTGTGCGTTTGTGGCACGGCAGGTCAAGCTTTAATTCCTGCGTATTCACTGATAGTCAAGACTTCCTGTGCACACAGGAAGTGAGTGGAATCATCCAGTGTGCAACTGTGAAAGTGAGCAGCAGTAAAGGTTTTCCTTGTGTTTGTGTTTCTGTCAGGCGTCGATGATGATTTGGAGCGTGGGTTCAGGAGGTAAGATGGCGGCGTTGAGGCTTTTCCTTCCCTTCCTCCTCCTCCACTCATTCTGTGAAGGTGAGTCCTCCAGACGGGGAAAAGTGTTCATTTCAAATGTTGGACGTTCATTTCGAGTCCGGAGAAGAACGCGTGCTCAGGTTGCTCAGTTCACACAGTGATCGTAAATTCTTGTTAAAGTTCATCCGTCTGGTTTTGTTCGGGTTTCTTCTCAGATGTCGACTGTAGAAAATGATTTTTCTTTTTTTTAATAAATGGTTTTTGAGGTATTGAAAATTGTTGTGAAAGGGTCTTTCTCTTCTATCAACTGTAATGTGGGCCAAACCCGCAGAGTCCCCCCCCCCCCCCCACACTCCAAATGTTGCATCAAATTGACCGTATCGACACTGTGTTGTTTGCTGTTACTTTTATTGTCATTTCCAGTTACCATGGTGATGTAATTGACAAAGATGCCATTTTTCTAATTGAAAAACACTGACACTTTCTAGTTTTAAAATTACTGTATTTTCCATCTATAATTCACACTTTTTTGCATAATCTGCATGCCCTGCAACTTATAGGCCGAAGCGACATATTTATGGATCCCCCCCCCCCCCCCCCTATATTTATAAACCAAATTTTGGCTGAGATATGACCGTTTTCATTCATTCTGACTGAAAAGAAAAAATTGAGCAGTACCACTTTCAGCCACTTGATGGAAGCAGAGTAGTAGTAGCAGTAAGGCATGCTGTTGTATCATGTAATAGGTAAACGTGGCTATAATGACAAATTCAAAAAAAGTTCAAGACCAAAACAACTGGACTTTATTTATTATACTATACTTTATACTTAAAAAAAAAAAAAAAAAATTAATTGACCATGTCCTGGATGACTGAGAATGTTCACCAGCTTTTAATGACTCCATCGCCTGCCATAGCCTCCCCACCTTCATTCTGCTCGCTGCTTGGACCACCCGTCGAAACAGCTGCACCACCCTGGTGAAATGCAGCTAATTTGACCATTAAAGTGCTTTTTTTTTTTTTTAAGCAAACGTGAAACTGAGACACACCTTTGCTATAATTGTTTTTAAGTGTTAATCTTGTTAAATTCTTGTTAAAGTCCTCTCGTACGCGCTCTCATGGCCGCCATTTGGCAGCCCATTGATTTTTGGCACATTTCCGGGTCGTCTACGGTGACGCGTAATAGATGCGATGTATACAGCGAAGCGACATATTTATGTATTTTTCCACTTTATTAGACATACTGTATTTGGACTAATGCGACTTATAGGGCGGAGAGATGTATATGGCGGAAAATACAATATAGTTTCCTCAAATGACTGGGGTGGCAATCTTTGGTGGACAATGCCCCCATTGGCCACCCCCTGGCTCCTCCAGTGCACCTGGTGGTGGATAGCTGTCTGTACACACTGCACTGCCTCAGACAAGCAGAAAAACTCTCTGTTCTTTTACACAGCACAGTGTCACTCCTCCCCACTTGAATGTCTCGCATCAAAAACATTTAGGTTTACTTCATTCTCTGTTCAGTTCCAGTCCAGAAAAACACTTATCTCCAAAAATACAAGCATTCGCTCTTCAGACTCCTCAGCAACAGGGGACATGTTGTTCATCTCGGTTGACCTACGTCCGTGTCGGTTGTCCTCTTGTTGTGAAGGAGCCGTGCAGAGCGACAGGAGCTGGGTGTGTTTCAAGACACTCGTGATGTTCGTTTCATGCAGACGGACAGGAGACATCTTCAACCACACGCAGACTGAAGCAGTGAAAGGAAGTTATTAACTCGCCGTCACAATCTGTTTCCATCAAGCCCGACCACTTTATCCAGGCTTTCCTTCCTTGTCGTCCTGCAGCCGCTCACCTTTCGCAGACCACCTGAGCTGCTTCCCCACCATCTCGGGTCCAACTCGTTCGCTCGCTGACCTTGCTCCCGTCTCAAGCGTTGCCTTTCTGATCAAGCAAATTGAATTTGATGATTATTGTTTTGCTGTAATTCATCTGCCTTCCCCTCTAAATTACGGTGACTTGCTGTAATTAAGCCGCAGGGGCAGACAGTCGCTCATTAACCCGCTCTCTCGCCGCTGTCCGTCCGACAGAGCACACTCCGTGTTCTTTGCACTTCGGAGCCTTGCTGACAAGTGAGAAATGAGCATCTTATTCCGCTCAGACGGGCACATGACAGCTCAAAAGCTTCTGCTTTCACAGCAGCGATTCAGTGTGCGCAGCAGCGAGGCTGATTCAGGCTGCCCCTCGTCAGCTTCTGCTGTCCACCGCAGAGCGCTGCTGATTATTTCGACCCTAATCTTCTGAAAAACAAAAAGAAGAGCTTGTTTCATGTCCTACTGGAAGCACATGTTCACAAGATCCACGCACACAACCAACCTCATGATGTGACCGCACAGAGAGCGGATCAGACTGAGCCAGTTTCATTGTAGGCACGGAGCAGACTGCACTTCCTGAGTGTTCGACTCTAACGTATTTTATTTTGTCCACAGGCTACAATCAGCCTCCGAGCTTCACAAACTACTTCTTCTCAACGTACCTCCTCATCTATGAAGACCTGCCTATAGGTGAGTCCCCGGTGGCACCTCGGTGCATCACGTGTGTTTGTGGGCTAAAGGAGGAGCAGCAGTGGAATCAACTCCAGCAGAACCAGAACTGGGCTCAGAATGAGCAGCCATCTGCTCCAACTGCCGCAGGTTTGGGACGACAGGAAGGGGACGCAAACAAAGAATGTCTGAAGTTTCTGTGGTCCAAATGCAGTTTCTATGGTCCACATGCAGTTTCTATGGTCCACATGCAGT